GGGAAAAATGGCAACCGTTTCAAATGACTCAACAGCTCCAGTGTCACTGAATATTGACTTCACATGGAGGTGAAACTCAGTGTGCTCAACCAGAAACTGTAACCATTAGTTTCATTATTAAACAGGGCCACCTCAACAGGCCAAACTAGTCATATAGCACAACCACTATTAACACCAAATGGAAAACCACAGACACCACATCATACTGTCCTTGACTGTCCTCTGTATGTGGTCATCTGATCTGATGACATCAGCAGGCAGAAACAACATCCCATGATGACCCGGGTCTCTCCCAGTCACCAACACAGGACTGGTTCACTCTCACTGTTCTCATCAGGGTTGGTTACAGACATCCAGCTGTTTGAAATGACCTATAAGCTCTATAAACCAACTGTACGCAACCTGCTCGGCAGCAAAGATAAAGGCTGCATTCAGAACCGCCTACTACATACTATCGATGATGCTTTTCACAGCAGTATGAAGCTGTTAAATCAATTTATGTTGCTGTATGCTAGACCAAACTCCATCTGGTTTCTGGTTTTTGATGAATGATCACATTATTCCATTAAAAGAGATGGAAGTTATAAATGTGGATTTTTATGATTACCTGAGAGATGGGTAACACCTATCTGATGACTGGAAGGAACCAGATTAAAAAATGTTGGAGTTTTCAAATTTTAGATTAAAAGGACAGTTGTGGGCCTGCCTGTTCTCTCTCCTCTCTCCTCTGCCACTGTTGCTGAAGTCGTCTGCTGTGTTGGCTGTAGTGGTTTGTGTGACTGTGGTCTGCGAGCGTCACTGGCCTCTCAACTCCAAAAACAACTAATTTTCCGTTCGCCTGTATCACTTTTCTTAAAACTTCCAATATTTTAAATCTACATGGTTGATTTCTCACCCATTAACATTCTCAGAAGTGAATTTAATGATGAATTGTGGCATACAGTAGATGAGGTAGATTGATGGATACATATTGGAGATGTTTTTGGCATATTACAGATTTTGCTTTGGTTTGCATACTACATATTACATATTGTCCAAATCAGTATGGACCACAAGTACAGTAGGTGGTTTGCTTACAAGATAATATATCAACTTAACAGGTGATGAATATGTTACCTTGTTTCTGCTGCCCGCAGTGGCCATAAATCAGGTTTAAACTTATTATAACTCATTGTGTTAGCAAACAGTTAACACGAGCAACATTAGGCTCCAAGTTATGGATAAAATACTGTAAATCCTAAAATAGACACAAATGATTAATTTAATGAAAATCCTCAGAACAGACACTTACCTGATCCTCACCTGACAGCACACCTGCCCCTTATTTCTCCTAATCAGCCACTTGGTATATATATGGTTAATCAGCAGATACTAGTGGTATCTGCTGATTAACAGTCTGTGGTCCAGCCTGGTTCTCATGCACCTGCGTGTTTCTGGTTTTTCCTGCCTGTTTCCTTTTTGTATTAGTTTTCCTTCACTGATTGGTTTCCTGTCAATCTGCTCATTGTAACCTTACCCACTGTGCCCAAGTCTCGCTCCTGAAAAAAATATGTAATACTCTTAAGATGACGTTTGAAAGGCAGATTAGCCTTATCTGGTTTAGACATCTCTTCATCCTCCTCTTCCTTTGCTGACTCCTATAAATCTTTACAGACCACATGAAAGCTGAGAGAAGCCTAAAGATAGTTTCATTAAATTCTGGTACGTATTAACCCACAATAATAATGGTATCTTTCAGTCTGACGCTGGAAGGCAAACAGTACATCAAACTCAGTGGGCAGCTGCCTCCTTTGTTGTCGAAACAATCCTGTGAATTGAGACGTTTGAGTCAAACACTTCTTCACTGAGTCAGTGAGTCACATGAGTGGTGTTTTGGAAACTGGTGGTATTTTCTATTTAAAGTCATTAAAACACTACATTAGTCATGGGTTGAGTTTAATATAATTGTCATATGACATATACTAAAAATCTCCAAATGTCAAATCTCCTGTCTTTTCATCTGATGTTCCTGATTAAGGTCAATATGTAATGTGGGTTGTACAAAACTTTATTGTCAAGACCTTTGAATAAGTTGTGTTGCAACCCTTTAAAGTGATGCCATTCACGGGTTGAATATTGCTGAAAGACTCTCACCAGAGAGTGATGAAGCATTTTTAGATTAAGATGCTATGAAATTAAACCAAAATGTAATTCACAGCCTCCATAATAACCATAAGGTTTTAATCAAAACATCTCTGATTAAACTGCTGATTGGACTTAAAGAATAAGTCAACAAAATGAGAAACTGAATCATAATTCTCATAAGGTATTCCTATATAGCACTTTATCTTATATATCCAGTATCTTCACTGACATGTACACAGACTGTGTACAACCTGTGCAAACCTGTGTCCTATATACAGTAAAATCACTTTATTTATACCTCATGTATCCATCCATCTATCCATTGTTTATACTTTATTGAGCATATTGCATAGAGTCAGACCTGTCTTATATATGTGTTTAAATGCCATAAATCTGCTTGTGTGTGGAACATCACATACTAAGGTGTTAAACTGAGCCAAGTTTCACTTCTTAAGGTGACGATAAACCACTCTTGATAATATTCAGCACACAAGGTCTGTGTTTCTCTACAGTGAATGTTTGTATCAATGTAATTTGAATCTCCCTGGTGGGTTTCTTTGCCTTTTACCTACTTTAATGTGTTATTACTCTCTAAAAAGGTAATATATTTTTTTTTGCATTTGGTCTGTTTAGTTTGGATGGACAGCTGCTCAGATCTTGCGGCTTCTTGACGTAATGAGAAAATGAAACCCTTTTCGGAATCAAGAGATCATTCAAGGCACCACAAATCGCTGCCAGTGTGCGACTGACGTTTGAAACCAGTGGGTGCTACATTAAGTATGATGCATGTCTAGTTCCCTCTCAGCCTTTCAATGCTTCCTTTGCCGACTGAGAATAATTGCAAAAGTAGAAGTTAATTATTTGCCTCAGGCCTGAAGCCTTTAATAAACCTATCAGGGAGGTTGAATTTTACGTGACTAAAGATGTTCTTTAAAACCTACCAATGATTTAAATTCATATCACAGGCAGAGGACGGCCCTCAGACCCTTTACTGACCTCCTACAGAGCCCGAGTGACTGCAAACTTTAAAGTATGAAGTTGCATAAAATAGAAATATCCAAGTAAAGTACAAATACCCTTAAAATTGTGAAGATTCATACTACTTTCATGTCTGTACTGTAAAGACGATGCTACAACCAGCAGTCAGCTAGCTTAGCTTAGCACAAAGACTGGAAACAGGCAGAGCGAGCTAGCCTGACTCCGACCAAAGATGACCAAATGTGCCCGCCAATTCCTCCAAAGCTCACTAATTATTTCATCATTTTATTTGTTTAATCTGTACATAAAACCAAAGTGTAAAAACAACGTATCAACTTCTGGTCTTATGAGGTTTGTTTTTTATGTGCTGAGCTACTTTTTTGGCTGGGAGCAGTTGCCAGGCAACTGAGACTGAGGAGGTGACAAGAAAATCAACAAGAATACAACAAAAAAAAATCCCTGCAAAATATGAGCTCAGCTTGACCAAATCATCCCTTTACACAGGCCTCTTCTTTACCCGCAGTTTTAACGTGTCTGCAGCCGATTTATCTCCTCTTCTGCATTTTCCATCCATGCTGATCTTTCTTTCCTCTCCCTCTGCCCTGTTTGGTCATCAGTCCACATACTCTAAGCAAACCACTGAGCCTGACCCGTGATGCTGGCTGACCACATGAAGCACATGCAGCTATTGTTCAAACAGTGTTCAAACACCATCTACATGCAAGAACACACCACCCTGTCTGAACCAGAGACTGTATGGTTTAAACATCACACACT